TCGCACTCATTATATCCTATTCTGTAATTATCACACAAACAAACTTCTGATTTATTGTATGCTTTCATATATAATATTAATACAAAATAAAGTTATTTAATTATTTTAAAAATTATTAATTGTATTAATTTACACATTATAATTCATGTTATATAAAGTTATTATAGAAAAAACATGTGATATTATTAAGAATTTTATTAACGATATAAGAATCGAGCATAAAGTGTTCACACCCTGTATAAAATGACCAAGCTAATACTAAAATACCGGTCGAGTAGGCTTTTTAGTCATTTATTTTTACTTTTTAATACTTTGCTTTAAAACAGTTTGTAAGTGTACTGTGCGAGATTAAATTAGTTGTTCAAATATTTTTTTATAAGTATATACAGTAGTAATTTGTGTTTTAATTTAATGTGTGGAATAGTGTCTTTTTTAACTTGTTTGGTTACTTTGAATATTGTTTATATGCTTTATAATCAAAATGATAAATTATTATATATTTTTTATTATTTAAAACAAAACAATGATAAAAACTATGGAAACAAAATTTTAACAAGTACAATATACAGTTATAGTACCAGTATTTTTAATTTATTTATATATTAATAATAAGAATCAATTTAACAAACAACATGTAATATTTACACAAATAATAAATAAAATACATCTTTATAGCAATCAATTTATTAAATTTACATAAACCTATTTTAGGTAAATATAAGTTATGAAATAATATTATTCTTATAAAAATCATTAAGAATAAAAGTTTGGATTTTTACAACAAAATATACTTTAGTTAAAGTTATATTTAAGACATGGCAAAACAATTGACTGGATTTGAGATAATATTAATTTACCACCGAATCACTGGAAACGCATACATGGGTTGGAGTTATGATAACCGTATGAAAGGTATTAAGAAACTATTACTTATTATGTGGAATATTATTTATCTCGGACTGTTAGTATATTATTTTATAACAAGTATGTTGTTCATTATATCCATTGATGAATTTTTTGGGAGTGGTAACAATTCCGGTAACACAACACAATTGAATACAACTATTTTGGTCACAAATGGTAACCTTAATCATTCAAACAAAAAGATTATGTCCTTGCTGTATAACGTTGGAGTGACTAGTCACAGCATACAGACAATTATTATTTCAATCATTTTGTTAACCAAAGGCTCGAAGATATTAAATGAATTAATTTCTCAAGAAATATGTATTATTGACAAAAAATCTGAGCGAAGATTTGGTATATTATTAGTGATTATACAGATTCTTATGGTCACAACTAATGTGACTATTTTTCTATGTCTTTCCTACCAATCCTTTAGCGTATATCATTGGGCAGTTAATGTACTTTTTGTTTTAATATTATTGTTATCACTCAATACTCAATTTATGATTATATCACTGATTGCATACAAATGTTATATAGTTTCTAAACAATTTTCAGCTATTTATAATTATCATGATAACTTTGAAATTGTTTTTAATTATATAAACAGAGTCCGTGAATCTATTGAAACTTTTAATAGTTTTATATCATTTTATTTGTTTGAATCCTTAGTCTCGTATATCGTGATATGTGTGTCCAGTATTTGTCACTTTGCATTTAAAACTAATATACCTAGCGCACAATACATTTATATAATAATTTCGGGTATATTTAGTGCTATGCTTTTATTAACATTATGTATTATATGTGACAAAATCCCCAATTCCTTTGATAAGTTGTATAATAGATTAGTTAGGATTAAAAATTTAAAACCAATAACTGATTACAAATCAAGCGATCGATTGGTTATGATTCAACTGAAAGACATGAGACATGAGTTGGGTTTCACGGCTTTGGGTTTATTTCAAGTGAACGCAAACACATTCCTCTCGAGTCTCGCACTCATTATATCCTATTCTGTAATTATCACCCAGACCCCTTTCTGAGTGCTTGAATACATTAAAACAAAAAATAAAAACATACAATAATAATATTACACATTTCATAATATACATATTTACTTATGCTGAATAAAAGTACTAACCGAAATTTATATTATACAATACACTTAAATTAATTGCAATTAAATTAAAAGTAATATACTTGTGAATTATTTTACTATTTTGAGTTTATATGATAAGCGAGCATTGATCTATATTATTATCAAAACCAATTTATATTAACAATAAAGTTATTTTATTAACAGTATACTAGTTCATTGTACTGTGCTAATATTACAAGTAATTTATTTCATCTCAATATATTTTTAACAAAATTGATTTTTAAATGATATGCAGTATGTCATTTATTTATAAATTTTATTAAAACATTATAAAATATTACTCTTGTTTCAAAAATAAATATAATATAATAATAATATAATAAAAACAAAATATATTTTGTAAATTACTAGTAATAGTTATCCTGCTGTTTTCTAATAAATAAATATTATATTTAAGTACATTTATGTTAAACAAATTTAATTTTGTTAATATAGAAGAATTTCATTTTATAAACTAATTTATATAACATAATGTAAACAAATAACAATAATTGAATTTCTAATTATAATTTATTTAATTACAAATTTTATTTGTTTATTAACTCACATTGTCATAAGATATATAAATATAAATTATTAATTTTCCAATAAATTATACAGTATTTTGTGTACTACTCTACAGTATTAATGTATTTCTATACCACTAATAACATAATGCTCGCAAAAAATAATACACTGAATCACAATCAACTAAAAGGATTAAAAATACTTATAAATTATCACAGAATTACTGGAAACGCATACCTGGGCTGGAGTATTGACTCAAATATAAATAGTGCTAAAAGAATCTTGTTGATTCTGTGGAATATCATCTTGCTAATCATAATTATATGTTTTAGTTGTGCCACAATTTGGATGATCTTTAAATTCAATGACAATTATTCAGATATAAATCAAGTGAATGTGACACACATTCCGTATTTTACTTGTAAACATGGAAACTGCAGTAGAAATGGAGATGCAAACAGGTCATCCCTGGTACTTTTGTTATTCTATACTGGAATTGTGTTTTACAACACAGAGACAATATTAATATGCATTTTATTAATGTTTATTGGGCCTAAATTGCTTAATATTATCAAAAATCATAATTATGTGTATATCGATAGTAGGTATGAGCGAAAAGTAGGTAAAACTTTAGTTATCATTCAATTTGCAGTAATATTCATTTGGTTGGCAGTCATTACCGGCTTTAATTGGAAATATTATGTCAAATATAGTTCAAATATTTTTATTATTTTATCAATAAATATGTCATATTTTCTAACATTTAATACCCAGTTCTCAATCATAACGTTAATGGCATACAAATGTCTTATGATTTCCAAACAACTAAATGATGTGTTTTATAGGAATTCCCACAAAGAATTGGATGTGATCTACAATTTTGTGTATAAAACACACAAATGTGTACAACTTTACGACAGATATTTGTCCAAGTTTATTTTTCTATTCCTGTTAACTAATATAATCATTTGTGTCTCATCTTTATGTCAATTAGCGTTTAATCCGCGGATCAGATTAGCCATCAATGTATCAAATCTTATATTCAGTTTACTATTCCTATTAAGTCTGTGTTTAGTCTGTAATATAATCCCAAATGCTTTGAAGACATTGATTAATAGATTAGATGACTATAAGAATATGAATGCAATCAATGGTTACCTACAGTCGGATCGACTCATTATGATTCAGATGAAAGACTTGCGACAAGAGATGGGATTCACGGCATTGGGTTTGTTTCAGATCAACGCCAACACATTCCTGTCGTGTGTGGCACTCATTGTCTCGTATTCTGTGATTATTATACAAACTTAACACTTATTGTCAGTAACATCATTACAGTATTAATAATCGTTTCTAATTATTGTAACTCATATTTTCTGTCATGTATTTTATTTTTATTATAAATTATTATAAAAACTTCTTTTGTCCAGGTATACTTTGCAATGGAATGGAAAACTTTATTTATTTATACTGAGAATCAATTATATATAAAGTTTACACAATTTTATTTACAAATTACTAATCAATATTTTATAATATAATTTTCAGATAATTATTCATGTAAGACTTGGTTAATTTAAGAATTTCATCAAGCTAGATTACATACTGGTACATTTTAGAAAAACTATAACCTAGAAATATAAGAACTATGTTTTATTACACTGTAAACAGGATTTAGTATAAAATGATTTAGTATACTACTGTATATACATTATTTGAATATTAATTTATAATTTTAATAAATTTTCACAATTCAAAAGTAATTAAAGTATTAATATACAATATAGTCATCACTGAACAGAGTATAAAATGTATTAAATAGGGTGACAAACATTGCTGTGAAATGCATTAAATAGTAATACAAATATAATATGTAATAATAATATTTAGCATAAAAGCTACGAATTACATAAAACAGTTGTAATCATTTAAAAATATAAAAATACTGATTACAAGTTTTCACACATCATAAATACCGGTAATAAATCGCTTTTGTGTGAAATGTGTCTAATACTATGCAATAAAATCTAAATACAGTTATCATAGATTACATTAATTGCCATATTATCATGGTTACAGACATAACAGTATACTGTAAACAAGTATAAAATGATTTCAAATGACAACTAAGTGACAATTATTGTAAATATCAGTCAAGTTTTTATTTATTTCGTTGAAAATAACTTGTATTCAAAACTTGACATCACTTGACAGCACAGTTTGGGACCGATCTCACAAAGTAAGTACAAATATTTTGTATATGGGTAGGGCTACCAGGGTCTACTAGAGTGACCAAGTATAAATGGGTATTCTAATTATTAGGGAGTCTAATATAACTGACCAGGGCAACAGAGTACTTTTTGTATACTGAGTTTAAGTGACAGAGTATTGAATACTTATCGCAATAGCTATCGAAATGCAGTCAATGTCTGAGAATACCGGCGCCGACGCCGACCCACCGGCCGATCGCCAGCTATTCGTGGCCTTCAATCAGAACTCGTCGGGGCTGACAGTGGGCGCCGGCAGTGGGTATCGGGTGTACGGGTGGCGCTCACCCGACAGACTGGATTTGGTGGACGTGAACCGCTCCGGAGGTCGGGTTGTCATCATTGAGCGCCTCTTCTGCTCGTCACTCGTGGCCATAGTATACGAGTCGTCGCCACGACTGCTAAGACTCTATCACTTCGTGAAGAACGTGGAGATCAGTCACCACTCGTATCACAACTCTATAGTCAGCGTCCGTCTGAACCGCCAGAGACTCGTCGTATGTCTCGCGGACACCCTTTATGTCCACAACATTCACGACATGAATCTGTTGACGACTATCAGAGACACGGCTCCCAACCCGCGCGGGTTATGCGCCCTATCGGCCCACACAGACACCAACTGTGCGCTCGCATACCCGGCCGCTAGTGACGGCCCGCAGTCAGTGGTCATGATAATCGACGCGCAAACTCTTTGCCAGAAAGCCCTGATAACGGCTCACGAGGACAGCCCGTTGGCCGCCATTGCCATCGACTTCTTGGGCGAAAACATAGCGACCGCTTCGGAGATTGGGTATGAGATCCGGGTGTTTAAGACATCGGACGGACAGTGCGTTCGGGAGTTTCGACGCGGATATCCACCGCTACTCAGCTGTCTGTCCATCCATTCCCTGGCGTTCAGCAAAGACTCGCATTTCCTGTGCCTCACGAGTAATACACAAACGGTTCATATATTTAGGCTGAAGGACAGGGATGTAGACAAACTGCCGGATGTGGAGCCCCAGGGATGGCTAGAGTGTATCAACTCGTATGGGGCGCAGGCTGTCGACCAATTGGCCAGTTATTGGTCATCGATGACCGATATGATGACCAGTGAGTGGCCATCGATGGCAACCGCAACGCTTCCAGAGTCTTGTGGGCCGCGGAGTGTGTGCGCTGTGACTGACATTCAAGGGATGCCACGAGTGATGATCGCATCCACCGCCGGATACCTCTATGTCTATGATCTCAATGCCGCTGATGGTGGCGACTGTTCACTAGTCAAGCAGCACCGGTATGTCACGTGTTTTTATAAGAGTTTAAACTTTTTTCTGTAACTTTTGAACGAAGCCATGGGTTGGAAATGTAGTGAATTTGTTGTGTTTTATATTTTACAGAATAATCGATGGTCTGTGAGGTGTATGTCCCGGACTACAGGTGCCGTATGAATGACTGGCAACTCTTAACTGATACTAGTATTTAGATGGTGCTCAAAATGCATGTGTATTTAAAAAATTCATTTGATTTGTGAATATATTGTGTGACTTTAACTTAAATATCAAAAAATGTTTAATAGTTGTTATAATGAATAATATTAAAAATAATAATTACAATTAATAAATAATAAAATCAATTTGATATTCAATGAGTCATATATTTTGTGATAAGAATTTGATACTTATTTTTACACTTACTTGTTAGCACGACTCCTTAAAAACAAGTAAAATTTTTATACTAATTACATGAAAAATATTACAAATTTTGCAGCCATAATATTTAAACATCAATTTTATACAAATGCTTATCAAATTGGCTATTCAAAATATGTTTTATCATGTTTTGTGAGTAAGTTATACTGTATCTATTTTAAGCACTAACCTAGGAGGTGTTTACCAATATTTTTCATCATGCTTAAATACCATAAAATTCTGATTGACTAATATAAAAAATACCATGTTATCACTCAAATATCATATATTTGACTGGACAATAATAAAGTTTACGCAATTTTATATACAAATTAGTGATTTTTATTTTATAATCAATTAACTTGAATGATCATTTTAAATACAATTATATATCTAATAATTTCATCATTGTTAAAATAAACTAAATTACGTTAAAAATAAATATTGTAAAAATATTTAAGAAAATCTGTTACCTTGAAATATGAGAGGGCCAGATAGTTATTTTTGAATACCTGTCCCAGTATGTACTGAAACCTTAACTGTAGAGTTGATTGAACACCTGGTAACTAGCCTCTCACTTTACTAAAAAATATAGCATCATGTTTAAATATGAAAAATTGTGATTGGCTCATTATATGCATTACTCGAATCGGTAGCATTTGATTGGCTATAAGTTTGCAAAACATGTTAAAAACTACTTATCTGTTTGTGATAAGAAAAAAGTCTTGAAATCATATAAATTGCAAAGTTTTTAGTTGAGAAACTCATGTGAGTTGAAAATGAGCAATATACCACAATCCCTTGTACATTATAAATGCGATTTTAATAAAAAATGGTCTAAATTCTCAAAATCCACAGATATTTGCAGATATTTTCGGGATTATATGCTGTACTGGAAGCAAGAATTCCATTCAAAACAAAAGGATCAAGCTCAATTCAACGCCATATACAACAAAATCATGTCGTGGGCCAAGATTTTAGACGAATTTTTCTGCGATAGTCAAGTGCTATGTCGCGGAGATATTATGGTGAACCACGAGGACGATGCTACCTGTCCCAAGTTGTGTCAGCGCCAGGATCATTTAAATGGCATCACCTACTGGCGCATCGGTCGTAGGGATAAATATTTTGCTATTGTGTTAAACTACGAACTGCTGGGCAATGATCATAAACTCCAGAGTACTTTATTTCACGAATTAAACCACGCGTGGCGTTACGTATTGAACAAAAATTTTGTAGGCGAGCCCCTGTGCTATCATGGGCTACCGTTTATGCAAGATTTGCTGTATATCGTGAAGGAATGGAAGGAGCATGGTCATGCGGCGATCCGATTTGATAATGGTGGTCCCACCGATTTTCGTGGTAATGGCGGTCCCACTGATTTTCGTAATATTGGTATTTATTATCAAAAACGTATGGATAGAAAAATTAAAATTCACTGGTACAACTATAAACGCTATAAAAGGAATAATAAAATTGATATAGATACAGATTCTGATATTGTAAAAATATAAATTAGGAATATTTAATTTATTTATCAAAAATAACATTGTAAACAATTTACTGTAAATATGTTGAAACAAAGAATTAAAGTTTCAAACAGTCGTGTCATTTACTTAATTTAAATTAATTATTGAATTATACAAATAAAAACTTATTATTTCTAATCATTAGCCAAAGTCGCAATATTGAAATAGTTTATAAAGAACACTGTCATAATACAATACAGAATTGGCTAAGCTGGCACTCGGGATTTTTTGATTGGATATGAACGTCCATTCAATGCTGAGTCAGAATATGGAAATTATATTGTCCAGTGACCTCGGGATCGGCCTGAGT